ACCGGTCGCAGGACATTTGCGACCGGTCGTTTTTACACAGATTCGAAGTCTGGAGCGAAGTTGACTCGCGATCGGTCGCCAACCATTTGCGACCGGTCGTTTTTACACAGAGTCGAAGTTTGAGGACTCTATGCAAAAACGATCGGTCGCTCAGTGCGTGCGACCGGTGGCCCAGCACGTGCTGTTTCGAATTTCTCGAGTTTTTAACTCTAATTTCAAGGGCTATCGCCTCCCACCTACTTGCAAGGACTCTAGGGGTCACTTCTAAGTCAAAAGAACGTTGGCAATCAATTGGGAGGTTTGAGGTAGCATTGAAGGACATTGGAAGACTTGTTTCAAGGTGTAGCTACCCTATGGTTCTATATAGGGTGGCTACACAAGTAACCATCAATACATAGCTTGTGGCTGGCCTGACCTGTGGTCTATGTCAGGTATTCAAGGGCAGAACGTGGGAGACAAAGCAAGGGTCTTCTCTCAATTCTACAGGCTCATGTATTAAAGGAAAGAGTGAGCAAGTCTGAAATGGTGAGAGGGTTAAAGAGAGTTGGAAGAAAAGCAGCTGGCAACTAGTGAGTCAAGAAGAGGAGAGAATTCTCAAGTGTATCAAGGTGTCGAGCAAGGGTGTGAGAGAAACAGATTGTGAGGGTAGTGTTCTAAGGGGGTTTCCATTTGTAAACCAAAGTTGTAATCTCTCTTCATTAGTGAAATTTCTCAAAGGGATCACCAAGAGAGGATGTAGGCAAATTGCTGAACCTCTATAAACACTTGTGTCTTTTGTACTTGAGTTATTTTTCTGTGTGTGTGTTTAAGATTCATCCATCATTGAGTCTTGTCCAAAGTCCATCAACAACAAGGTCTAAAGGGCAGTGAGTTGGTTCTCATTCACAACACTCTTCACCATCAATTTTCTTCACAAGTTAATTTCATGAACCCAGTAGTGAAAGCAATAGCAAAATCTACTTCATTACTATCAATCTCCATCTCACTTGGGGAATAGCGGGACAAAGAAAAGAAATGGTACCCCTCTGCCCCTTGCTATTAAGAAAATGACTAGACGTAGCTAGCCTGCCTTGAACTTGAAGTAGGTAGTCTCTCCTATATCACTAACCAACCGAGACTCAATGGCTGTGCGAAGAACTTCAACTATCTTTTGGGACCTCGCTGGAGAAGACTTGACATATCTCGGCATATTACGAACTCTGGTGATTGACTCATGACAGTCTTTTAGACCTTCCTTAACAATGAGATTTAGTATGTGTGCACAACACCTCATGTGCATATTTTCACCCTTCAATATTCAACCCAAACAATTGAAGGAGGTCTAGCAGGTTTTCTCTTACCTTCTTCAATGGGAGCAAAATCATTGGCTTTGGTTTCTTGTGGCAACACTTCAGCATTTGAAGGCTTGACAGTATCGGGCCCATTAGAAGTTGAAGGTGCATCAGTTGGTGGTTGACTTGTATTTCCAGTTGGATTTTCATTGGAAGTTGAAGTTGGAGTAGTCACCTGTTTCATAAATACTCTTTCAATATTGTCATGCTTGAGAGGGGGAGACGAAGGAGAGAGGGGGAGAGGGAACCAGAGAATAGGGAAATGGGCAGAACAAGGAGAAAAAGTCAAAAAACAAATAGAAAAAAGAAGCAAAAAGAGTTAAAAGTTAAGTGGTGTTAAGTGGTTTGCCACATGTCACGAAACTAGTAGGGAAACAGAGGGGCACAGGAACTTTGGTAACAGGTAAACCGGACTCTCCTGAAAGCACTTCCACCCACTTACTATGGCAATGACAAGTAAGAGTGGTTACTGTTTACTTAAATAGTATATGCCCTAACAATTTTTTTTGTGCTTGTCGACACAGCAATGGCAACACAATGGGCAATTACTATTCACATGAAATTAAATTTATTTATATATATGATATTGATAAATAAAAATTTGCTATGTATGTATAATTTTTTTTTTTGTTTGAAATTTTTGATAATTTTTCAGAATTTGTTTCGATTTTTTTTCTTGGTTGACATCAACGCCTATCTTGCCTTGGGCCTTGCCCGGCTGGATGGCACCGCTGGAGCTGGTTTTGGGAGACCAGGGGCTTATGCCTGGGCTGGGCTGTCTGCTGGAACTGCTCTTACGCCTTTCCATTTATCACCCATCCCACCTCTTGGAATCTATTCGTCCCAAAAAATCCTCTCCGAACCCAATATCTTCCAAGAGACGAAGGAACCAAACGCGGGCTCATCAGCTATAGCACTCGATTGCTTGTCTGCTGTCGGCGGTCAGGTGCTATCAGGTACTGGTTCTCTCCTCTGGAATTGAGTCGTTAAATCTTTCGTTCCAGAACCAGATCGATACCGTACCGCGATTGGGTACGGTCGATCCAGATCGAAATTCGTAGGGGGTGAGCGAATTAGGCAACTACGGTTTGATCTATTATTTTCAGTGAGGTTTGAATGTGTATGTTTTCTCTTTTCTATTTTTTTTTTCTTCAGCTTCTTAATATGGACGCGGTCGCTGCAAAAACTGCCCGGGAATCTCTTGACCTAGCATTTCAGATGTCCAACATTCTTGACACAGGGCTTGATCGTCACACCCTCTCCATCCTCATTGCGCTATGTGATTTGGGTCTCAACCCTGAGGCTTTGGCTGCTGTTGTCAAGGAACTCCGAACAGAACTGGTTCCCCTTCCGCCATCAGATGCTGCTCATGCTATACCTTAAACTGGTTTGTATATTTGGATCCCCATTCTGCTTGTTGATTTGACGCATTTTGTTAATTTTCTTTGGAACATAAATACTTTGCTTCACTCCATTTTCTTAGTTCGGAAGAGTACTGGAATGATAGTTGGAAGCTAGAAATTACAAAGCACTTTTAATCAGCTAAATTTTCTGTATTTTTTGTGATTAAATATTTAACTAGTTGCTAGTTAGTAGAAAAACTTCCGAGGGTAATGCATTGCCACCTAACACGCTGAGTAAAGTCTCAAACAACTTGAGACTGGTTCAACTTTCATTGTAACCTCTTATTGTGATATAAGTTTTGAAGTGTCCACTTTTAAGACGAAGCACTTTTAAGCAGCTAAATTTTCTGAATTTTTTGTGATTAAATATTTAACTAGTTGCTAGTTAGTAGAAAAACTTCCGAGGGTAATGCATTGCCACCGAACATGCTGAGTGGCATGACGAAGTCTCAAACAACTTGAGACTGGTTCAACTTTCATTGTAACCTCTTATTGTGATATAAGTTTTGAAGTGTCCACTTTTAAGTTTCAATCCAAAATAATATCCACTAAGATTTATCAAATGGTTCAGATTTCCTGCCCAAAGCGCTGCCACCATAAATCCCCCATCACCATGGCTGGATTTGGAGCTGCTTTCCTTCAAGACCTCCCAATCCTACACCTTTCGCTCATCAATACTTTGTGCGTAATCAGTTGTTGAACGAGATAGGCAACTTTGTTTTATAAGACTGAGATGTACTAAAGAGAAATGTTATCCTCTTTACTAGAATCCGCGGAAGTGTACAGTAGGTAAGTATTTAGGGATTCAAAATAATATTTGATGGTCTGATTCTACAAATTCTAAGGACCCCAATAGTAAAACACAGAAAAAATTGGCTGGTTGGAAGTCCGGCTCACTTTCTAGAGCTGGTACACTAATTTTAATCAACTCCGTTCTCTTGTTTTTCTTGGCCCAAAAATGTGGTCCATAAGATCTCTAACATTTTTAGGAAGTTTTTCTAGGGACCAGATACTTCTAAGCAGCCTCCAATTGCTTGGAATTCTATTTCTTAATTAAAGAAGAATGGTGGTTTACGACTCTGAAGTCTAGAAGATTTTAATTTGGCCCCTTTAGCTAAATTAGGTTGGAAAATTCTGATTCAACTAGGTGGGTCTATTAGTTTCTCAAAAATATTTGAGGCATGATTCTTTCTTTCAAGTGAAAGCTAGAGTTACTGATTCTACTTCTTGGAAATGAATTTTACAAGCTAGGGAAATTTTACTCAAAGGCATACGATGGATTGTTGGAGATGGAAATGATATTAAATTCTGGACTTGAGTTTATGCATTTCCTTTAATTAATATAGTCATTCTTCTTCTAGAAGTAATCTTAAGGAATCAGTTGCGGATTATTTTTCTTTTGGTAATTGGAATGTGGAAAGATTATTTACAATGCTCCCTTCAAATGTAGTTAATTCTATTAGAGGCATAAAATTTGCCTCTTGTTCCTACATCAGATAAGTTCGTGTCGGGGATCTAAACCCCATGGTACATTTTCCATAAAATATGGTACTGGCAAGAAAAGATCGGTATGCAGATAATTTCCTTAAACATAGTCGGAAACTGAGCGTGACCCTATTCAAATCTTTGTTTGGCTTCTTTTACAAAAGAGACTAACACTAGGGAAAAACTTTTGAGACTTACTGCTATGGATTCTTCTTGTCCTCTTTGTAATAAAGATATTGAACATTTTAATCATCTGTTTATTGATTGTACTTTTGCTAGGCAACTTTGGCATATTTATACCTTTGCCTCTGGTAATTAATATTGTGGATTGGTTGCATTTGAATTGGAACAAATTACCTTTGCTCTATGTGGAAAAATATTATAACTATTTGTTGGCAAATTTGGTTCCAAAGGAGTAAACTTGTGTTTTTGTTATTAGAAATTCAAAGGGAATTGCTAAATACTGCAGGACCTATCCAAGTTGGTTTTACTTCAGTCATTGAAGCGGAAGCAATGCGTCTGAAGAATGGACTTATTTGGGCTAAAAAGTCAAGATTATCTTGCTTATGCGTTAAAGGGCATTCTCAAAGTGTAATCAATTTGTTAAAGGGCGATCAACGTTCTCCGCGACGCTTGTTTTCGCATGTTATGGATTGACAGACTTTCAAGTCATTCAAACTCGTCATGTGTTTCGTAATGCAAATTGGCTAATTTGAGTCATCAGCTTGATAATCTTTGTATCTCGTTTGGTAATCTTCCAAATAGTGAGGCAATAAAATTGTTGTATAATATATTAGGGGATCCACAGACGGTCCTCTCTCTAATTTCACTTAAGTCTTTAAAAAGGGAAAAAAGAAAAGAATGGAAGTCACTGAATAGGATTGTGAAAGTATTCATGCATCTGAGTTCCCAAGTTCGATTACTCGTTTTCCTAATATCGCTTGTATCCAAAATAATAATAATAATAATAAATTTGCACACCACATTGGGATCAATAGTCCTACAACATTGTACTGTCATTCCTATTGCATCATAGACAAATATAACTATATAGATATGCATGGTGCATATGTGTTTTGTTGAAGTGGTATTTGATACTTTACAAATTTGTGTATACTTGAAAACATCAAACACAAAGAACATCTCCTCCTTTAATTTGTACAAAAGGTCATGGTATTATTAGGTAACAAATATAATGGAGGGGTCGCAGCAACACTCATCCAGGAGACAACAGCAACATAATGCTGCAAGGCTGCACAATTAGGCAAAGAACAAATTAATTAGTAACTGTATAAAAATTTTGTTTAAAAATAAAATACCAACAATTTTTTATCAAATAGAAAGTTTATTAGATAAACTTCAACGGTACAATCAAAGACATCAACAAGACATCTAAAATACCAATCCCAAGAGGGCAACAAATTAACATGCTAACAGAAAAACTAACGTGGACACACGCTGCGCTAAAACTATTAGTTCACATCACCACAATTAACCATAAGCTCAAACAAAGCTCACAAACCCAACATAACCAAAACCTTAAAACAACTCATGAGCCTAGACGAACCCTACCACCACCACCTGAAGAAGCGCCACCGTGGCGAACAAATACCATTTAATTTGCTAAAAGTAATAATTAAGGGGAAAAGGAAAGACACTTGGGAAGAGAGTATGGAATAAAGATGAACAATTACCATCCTTCAAGGAAACTTGGTTCTCTTTTTGGTGGTGGAGCAGCAGCATAATATTGAGGAGGAGCCATCACAGGAGGTCCTTGATAAGGCCCTGGTTTAAATTAAAATTAAGTTAATATTCAAATAAAACTAGTAACATTCCTCAAACTACTTCCTAAAATAAAATATAAAAAACTCCTCAAACTACAATCATGCAGATTTTTTTTTTCTTCAAAAAGTTAGGAAGGGAGAGGGGTTTTTTTTTCACCCACACTACCAAGATGTCAAGGGGTTTGAACTTGAGACAACTAGTCTACAAGTCAATGTCTTTTCCACTAGGCTAGATCCCGTTGGCACAATCCTGTAGAATTTAGCTACTAAATACTATTCCCACTAATCACATCAAGATCCCTCATAGTGATTTTGTAATTAAGATCATATGTGTGTATAGAAGTCTAGAGCTAGCATTCCTAGAACCAAAAGAACATACACGTACATTTTTTATTATAGAAAATTAAGCCATAGAGGCACCAAACTAATTACTTATATATATATATAGATGTTTATCAGATTTAAACCTATAATATTCTCTAAATTCTACATAAACACAGGAGAATCATATCACGACGAGCAAGGGAAGAATCATATAATCTTAGCCCTACAGATTAAAGAACAGATTCAGGATTCAAAGACAAAGAAAAAACATGCAAACAATTTTATACAGGTTGAAAACTGTAAAGCATACAAATAAGGAGTAAATATATATATATATATATATATATATATGTATATACCTTGAGGTGGATAAGCGTAACCATACTTGGGATCCCTCATCTCCAACACAATCCAATAGCTGAAACACCAGAAGAATATGAAATGGGATTTGTGGTTTTAGGTTCTGGCACTCGTATATATATGCATGAAAAGAAGATTGGAGAATATAATGTGTGTGAAAGAAAGAAGTCCAGAAACAATTTTAGAGCTGAAAAATTAGACTCTCTCTCTCTCTCTCTCTCTCTCTCTTATAGACACAAGTGGAATGATGAAGAGGGAACGATAACTTTTCCTCTTGTTTGCAACTTTCATATCTTTGCATGATTCCTTGAGAGATGGGGTTAGTTTAAAGCTTATGTGTTAAGCTCACAATAAGAATATTATGGAAAGTTATTTGATAGTTGGTGATGCCTATATTTGGTGCATATGTAGAAGCTTCCACACTACTTTTGTGTTGCTCCATATATTCTATTCCCTTCACATTGTAAAGTAACAAATTGATATTATATAGGTTAATAAGACTCTACAAAGTAGTTAATGTTATGTACATGTTGAGCATGTACAATAATAAGACGCTTTAGAGCCTTGTATTTTTTTCTACTAAGGAGGACTCAAAAAGAGGATTAAAAAGTTGGGTTTGTCATGAAAAAAAAAAAACATTAACCCTTGAGGTTGTTCAAATTTGGGATGTTGGCATCGAAAAAACTTCGAAATGAACATTTCATATTAAAGAGCAACATTGATATGAGACGCTTAAAGCTGCACAACAATGGATATCAGTAATGAGTTTACTAATTTTGTGTGAGTCCCATCTTTACTATTCATTTTTGAAATTTTAGTAAATATTGGAGTAAGGTGGAATGGGAATCACTCCCACACACTACACAAATCCGGACTTTCAAACTTAAATATAAAACTTGAATCGAGTCTACCACTGATTTTGGTACGATACTCGTAAATACGTATGCAATATGGAAAATATAATTTTGTTGACCGGCGGTATACGGAACCAATACGCGTGGGATACGTCTGTGATTTAGTTTAAAAATATTTGGAAATTATGGTGGTCTTTTTCAAATTTATAAAACATATGGGGCCAAATGTGTAAATTCGAAGACTTGATTTAATCACACACTCCCAGCCTCTAGGCTAGGTTTTTCTTTGTAAAAGAAATGGCTGCACCAACTTAAAGAACCAGAGGTCCAGATCCAGAAGGAATAAGAAAGAAGAAGGAAGAAGAAGAAGAAAGTTCTGCTCCACCTCCACCAGGTCCAGCCTCTTCTTCTCGATTTTGACAAATTTTATTAAAACAATAAAGGAAGAAATTTTCCATTTATTTGTTAAATTCATTGTCCATTTTTGACTGAGATTACAGTATATTGTACAGAAGTTAAAGGGAGCCATGTATTCGTCTCTCTCTCGGCTGTCTTCGTCTCTGGTTCATCGCCTTGCTAGATGCCAGGGCCAGCTCATTGCTTCGAGGTCTTTCTCTGTCTCTGGAACGCCACCAGGCAAGTTCTTCTTCCTGCCCTTTCAATTTGGCCAATATTTCTGTCGTACTTTTGGATACTGAAGAGATTACAGTATATTGTAAAGAAGTTAAAGTGAGCCATGTATTCGTCTCTCTCTCGGCTGTCTTCGTCTCTGGTTCATCGCCTTGCTAGATGCCAGGGCCAGCTCATTGCTTCGAGGTCTTTCTCTGTCTCTGGAACGCCACCAGGCAAGTTCTTCTTCCTGCCCTTTCAATTTGGCCAATATTTCTGTCGTACTTTTGGATACTGAACTTTCTGGTTTTATTGGTTCTTGAGTTTGTTCTATGTTAAATGAGTTTCTTTTAACATCTTTGCAATTGGGTTCAAATCAATTTGCAATTTTTCTAATGTTTTGAGTGTTTTTGAATTGCATTTTGAAAACTGTGATGTGACTTCTGAAATTAGTTTGATAAAATATATGGTGGTAAATCAAGAAGCTTTGCTGGGAAACTAATCTTTAATTGTGTCACTTTCTTGCAAATGATTGATAATATATTGGACTTTACAGGTCCAATAGATAATTTTCAACAAGGTTTCAATTCTTTTGGGAATGTTGAAAGGAATTCCAGGTCTATGAACTTTGTGAGGGGGATTCTAGAGGAGGATGGAAAGGACAACTTTGGTTTTTCTCAGTTTCCTCGATATAATATGGAGCAAAATGCTGATATTGTCCATCTAAAGCTGATGAAAAACAATACCTTTGTTACTGTGACGGACTCAAAGGGGAACAAGAAACTTGGGGCCTCAGCCGGGTCGTTACCAGGAATGAAAGGAGGACCAAAATTGTCTAAGTACGCTGCTGAAGCAACTGCAGAACACGTTGGACGGATGGCTAGAAATTTCGGGTTAAAATCAGTTGTAGTGAAGGTGAAAGGGTTTACTTATTTTAAGAAGAAAAGGCAAGCCATTGTGAGCTGGAAAGAGGGCTTTACCAATTCCAAAGTGGGTTTGAATCCGGTTGTATATATTGAAGATACAACCCGAAAGCCCCATAATGGCTGTCGCCTCCCAAAGAAACGTCGCGTGTAAACACAGTGCACTGTAGGCCTAATGAGTATTATCTTCTACTTGGCTAGAGTATCTTGTCCAATAATGAGATGTAGAGTCCAAACTCAGCGGTGGTAGAACTTTTCAAAGAAGAGTGCGTTTTTTCTTTTAATCCCTTTAATTTCAATGCCGTTGTGATGCTACTGTGGTCTATTTGAAGATGGTTGTTTCTTATGAGAATATATTTGCTTAGAAATTTCTCTTACAATATTAGTCTGGAAAATTTGTGCTTTTTCTTAGCAGTGTTCAGCTGTAGTGATAATGGTTGGAATTGACTGTACATTGACTTCAATTCATGTAATCTTTTATGAAATAGAACCCTACAGATTGTTTGAAGTAATTACAGGTAACTAGGGGCATCATGCACCCGACCTAAGCAGCCTCTATGTCATGAAGACTGTTGGTAATACAGAGCAATTTAGAAATAGCATTACAGAAACACAAGTGATAGTAGGTGTCACAGAAGAACTAAGATTATATTTAAGCTTTTGTTTCGATCTCGTGACATTTGCCAAGTTATTTCCTGAATTGTGAACTGTAAATTTGCGAATGGTGAGCCATCTTCTGCCGTTTTCCATCCCTCTTCTGCTTCTATTTTTTTTTCTCCAGCGTAGGGCACGCCTGAATAGAGAGATGGCTGCACTGTACTGATATTTTGCAGTCCTGGAGGTGAAGTCAAACTAGGACAGTCGGAGATGGCCAACGATCTAAGCGAAGGACAATTCTTATATTTTAAGGAAAATTCCTCAAATCTGGGTAGCTACGAATTTCCAAAGTTTGGAGTGTGATAATGGTCGAATAGTTTGCCATGAACTAATCTTTAGAAGGATTCCAAGCCTCTACATTTAAGCCCCATTTGGTTCATGGGAAAGGAGGCTTGGGGATGAGAAATCAATTGATTTCCTATGTTTGGTAAGTCCAGGCATGGGAAATAGTTGCCTGGCACATGGAAAAGTCGGGGGGGGGGAGTGAGCCCTCCTCCCCAACTTGGGTTTTGTTTTACTTCCTCATGGAAAAGTTTGGGAAAATGAGCCAACATTCAATGTACATTTTTCATGATCATTTTGTCTCCATTAACAATTTAGAATTATAATATATCATTAACTGCACTCTTTTTTTATTTGATTTAATATGAGTATAATTGAAAAATTATACAAATTTTGTTTTCCATTCCTACTCAAAACAAACACGGGAAATGAAATAAAGTGAAATCTCCCGGTTACTTTCCCGGCATCACCAAATGTGGGAAAAGAATCGTCCATTTCCCATCTTTCAGGAAATGACATGGGAAGTGATTTCCTCTTAAATCCGTTATGTGAACCAAACAGGTGGTATCCGTGCATTTATCCACATTTTGTAAAATCTAAGCCACTTAAATAATCTAACAACTTTAGCGTATTAATCAATATTTAAGTTAAGTGTTTCTTTTTCCAAACTGATGTTAACGTAGTTAACATGCTTGGAATTTTTTTTTTCTTTATCTGATGAAAAGATATCATCATTTGCAGAGTACTGAGTACTCTTCACAAACACCACTGCTTCCACTGTTTTCTTCACTGCTTGTTCCTCCAGCATCTTCGTCCATTCTTGAAGATGCTTCACGTACTTCACAAATCAATCTGCACACCTTTGAACTTCAAAAATTCACAAACATCTTAAACACCAAGAAACACTAAAATTCACAACACAATCAGAGAAAGCAAAAGAGCAAGCTTTTCTCAACTAAGAATATTTATGCCAAGGCAATAAGACATTTTATTTTCTCTGTTGGAGATAAAAAGCTTCTTCGGACAACAATGCTAAACTATCAATATTAATATCGTGCCACTGTCATATACATCTAAACATCAATCAACCATCTCTCTTCCAAATTAAGCTTCTATTTTCTTTTCTTGAAGCTTAACTCAAGTAATGAATTTTTGTGGCCTGTTATACTAACTATATATAGATATGCATGTTAAAACTAGAATCACCATCAATAACCACAGATCATTCAGTCCAAACCCCACTCCCAAAAAAAAGAATAGCCACATATCTTCACACTTTGAAATTAAATGGCCCAAAAAGATGAAAACGTGAGGCAAGTTACCAAAAGAGGAGGTGGACAAGGAAGCAGAGGAGACCAAGACCAACCTGCAGAAATTGAGCAAACTTCAAAGGTGAGTACTACAATCCATGTGGAGACAATTCCCAGGGAGGAGAGACTCGAAAAATTCAGGGAAGCAGAAGCAGCACCAATTCAGGCTGAAAAGGTGAAACCAAAGATCCAAAGGGTTCCATTCATGCTCCGACAAGACACAAAATTCGAAAAGTACTACGAGCCAAGGGTAGCAGCAGTCGGTCCTTTCCACCATGCTCGTAAGCCAACATACAAGCATGCAGAGAAAATCAAGCTTAAATTAGCTGCCAACTTTGTCAAAGACAGCAAGCAGAATGATGCAGATCTGCTCAAGAAGGTTGAGGACAATATCAACTTTGTAGACTGAAATATGTAGTTTTCATTTTTTAATGCAATGTTTTCAATCCGGGGTACTCTTTTTCCTTCGTTTGGGGTTTTGTCCCATTGGGTTTTCCCCAAATAAGGTTTTAATGAGCCCCAAAGTGTTCTTCCTTATCTTTTGTAAATTCTTATAATTTTAATAAAATTAATTAGTTGATAATTTTTTTTTTGGTTTAATTTGTATAAAGGGGCACACTTGAGAAAATTTGCCCTGGGCCTTAGAAAACCCAGGACCGGCTCTGTGCACTAAGGAAGTACTATGATAAGGAAGCAACAAAGGACTATGGCGACCTCGCGTGGATGTTGTTCGTTGATGGGTGCGCCACACTGGAATTCATATACAAATATAATCAATTAGAAGATTTTCGGATCAAGAGAGACCAGGTGGCCTTGTAGAACATGACATGTTCTTGCTGGAGAACCAACTTCCTTATCAACTCCTCCAACTGTTGATGAGCTCGAGCCAAATACAGGAGGAATTGAAGAAATCAATCGATGACGTTGTTTGGAGAAACAGCCCTGCAGCAGCACATCAGAACCGACAAAAACAGAGGTCACAACCAGGACAAGACGTAGCAATACCCATGGAAGCAGAGCCAACTCATCTGCTTGAGCTTCTTCGGACAACAATGCTAGGACGACCTTCACCTAACAACAAAGATACTAAACGTTCCCACTCTTTTCGCAACGTGCAAGAGCTTCGGGCAACTGGGATCCATTTTAGTCCTAGTGATGGCAACTCATTGAGTAGCATATATTTTAATTCTTCTGATCTATTCCGGGGAATCCTTCATCTTCCTCAAATAAAAGTAGACGACTCGACCAGACCCAAGTTCATGAACTTGATAGCCTACGAAATGTGGCCTGATTTCCACAATGATTTCGGGGTCACCTCTTACATATGCTTGCTCGATTCGCTCATCGATCATCCCGATGATGTAAAGTATCTGAGGAAAAAGCGGATACTTCGAAACTTGCTTGGCATTGGCAATGACGAGGAGGTGGCTCAGCTCTTCAATGAGATAGGCACTGACTTGGTGCCTAACAATGACATTTACTCCTCTGTTAAAGACAAAATAGAAGATCACTACGATAACTGGGGTAACAGAGTGATGGCTCAATTCTTTCACGAGCATTTCAGCAGCCCCTGGTGTGGTATTGCTTTCCTTGGTGCTCTCCTAGGGGTTGTGTCGAGCATCGTCCAGACTGTTAACTCAGTCCTCAGTTATCATAATAATAAATAGGATTCTCTATAAGCAGAGATTCACAACCCCAATCCTCCACACCCTCTCCCTGCAATAAGAGATGAGCTATAGGCATTGAAAATGCCTGGGCTTACACTCATTTCTGTTTTCTGGTTTGCTCCAATAACTGTACGCAAGAGTGTGACTAAATAAATCAAGTTGAACATGTGGACAAAGGTATTTGTAGGTTCTTATTTAATAAATAATGTAATTCTGTATGTTGCCTATTCATTTTATGAGTTGCTGCAGATTTACTTGCACCTTACTCCGTGTAAGCAACTCTTAAAATTTCTGAAATCTTAATTTCACGAAAAGAGATTATTACAAGTCTCTAAGGATTATTCTTTCTAGAGAGATGCAAATGGTTTTTGGGTGCCCTCTCACATTTCTCTGGATATATTCTTGACAATTTCCTTTCCCTGCAAAGAGAGCCTTGAGAATTGGCTGATGAACCAAATCTGGAAGCTTGAGGATCAAGGGATTCAAGCGAAGGAAGTTGAGGTTCCACTCCAAAACCAATTGGCCATGGAGGGAGTAGCCCAACTCCTTATAAGTCATTGCTAGGTTTCTCAACTTTCCAATGTAGGACTCTTTACCTTCACATTCTCACATGCCCCCGAACGTGTGGCGAATTTTCAAGCCTAACACATGGACAACTCATATTGGGTGACATGGAGCACGTGTGGCCGTTGGGCTTTCACAAGTGGGCTAACTCGGTCTGATACCATACTAAAATATGAATATGGTTTGAATACTTTAGGTTAAGTTTTATTCTTCTCTATAAGGAGTTATAAATAAGAGTTTACATCAGTGCTTTACAAGGAAATAGATACAATAATAAATTAGGATAGTATCTCCTAATTATACAATGATTTGTCAATTATATAAAATAGGAAAGTAAATCCTTTAATTAATCAAAGAAATAAATCTCCTTGATTAATTAGGAGACTCACATCAACATGAATTTGGGGACAGCATATCTCAACTCGTCTCAAAGTGGAGTGGGTCGAGAAGGAGAGAGAGCTTTTTTTCTCTTTTTAAAATTTTATTTTATTTTTTGGTTTTAAATACTTTAAAAGATTAAAATTAAAGAGTTGACCATAGTTATAACAATGAACATGCTTCAAGTTTTAAGGATGGTGTACATATTGGGGTATACAATTCAATATATCCTTTTTAGTCATTTTATATTAGGGTAAATTAGTAATTCAATAAATAATTTGATAGTAGGGTGTACTTAGTTAATTTTAGCGTTCATTTAGCAGCACTCATATATATATATAAAATTTCTATTGTTGCCCAGATACCCTAATTTCTATAATTTGGTTTTGATATTTTACAGTGCATGTCATGAGCACATTACAGTACTTTTGTCTAGTACGAAATCTAAAAAGTGTGGGCATATTAAAGGAGGAAATGACGAAAATAAGTGGATTCCAAATAACTCAGTGCATATATATAGTCATTTGAAATTCATTCCAAATGTTCAAGCTAATGTTTTCTAGTGCATTTTAGAAAATTCAACTTTGTTCTCAAATCCTAATCCTCTCTTTAAATACCTCGATCCAAACAGAGCCTTATTGAATTACGTGACTCACGTTCTTGATGATTTTATATGAAAATTTATCTTCAAGAACTAATAAAGCCATCACATTGATTCTTATCGTACGAAGGACACTAGCCTTTAAATTCTTTTTAGTGTAAGAAACAATCCCAACTAGGCAATCATACTTTTTATTTTCTCTCTGTTGGAGATAAAAAGCTTCTTCCTCATATGATTGGTGTACTTACTAATAAAATATGGGTATATACCAATCTTCCGATTCATATAAAGTCATCAAGTGTACTTGTTCTTTCACTATCAAAATTAATATTGTGTGACCGACCCACTGTCATATACATCTAAACATAAAATAATCTATCTTCCAAATTAAGCTTCTATTTTCTTTTCTTGAAGCTCAAGTAACGAATTTTTGTGGCCTGTTGTACTAACTATATACAGATATGCATGCAAAAACAAGAATCACCACGGATCATTCAATCCAAATCCCCCTCCCAAAAAAAGAATAGCCACATATCTTCACACTTTGAAATTAAATGGCCCAGAAAGATGAAAATGTGAGGCAAGTTACCAAAAGAGGAGGTGGAGAAGGAAGCAGAGGAGACCAAGACCAACCTGCAGAAATTGAGGTGAGTATTACAATCCATGAGGAGGCAAGTCCCAGGGAGGAGAGACTCAAAAAATTAAGGGAAGAAGCACCACCAATTCAGGCTCAAAAGGTGAAACCAAAGATCCAAAGGGTTCCCTTCATGCTCCGACAAGACACAAAATTCGACAAGTACTACGAGCCAAGGGTAGCAGCACTCGGTCCTCTCCACCATGCTCGTAAGCCACAGTACGAGCATGCAGAGAAAGTCAAGCTTAAATTAGCTGCAAACTTTGTCAAAGACAGTAAGCAGAATGATGCAGATCTGCTCAAGAAGGTTGAGGACAATATCAATGAACTAAGGAAGTGCTATGACGAGGAAGCAACAAAGGACTATGAAGACGAATTCCTTGCGTGGATGTTGTTCGTTGATGGGTGCTCCACACTGGAATTCATATACAAATATGATAAATTAGAAGATTTTCAGATCAAAAGAGACCAGGTGGCCTTTGTAGAACAGGACATGTTCTTGCTGGAGAACCAACTTCCTTATCAACTCCTCGAGCTGTTGATGAGCTCGAGCCAAATACATAAGGAATTGAAGAAATCAATCGATGAGTTTGTTGGGAGAAACAGCCCTGCAGCAGCACCAGCACGGTCACAGCCAGGAAAAGACGTAGAAGCAGAGCCAACTCATCTGCTCGAGCTTCTTCGGACAACAATGCTAGGACGACCTTCACCTAACAACGAAAGTGAGAAAATAGAAGGTACTCAACGTTCCCACTCTTTTCGCAACGTGCAAGAGCTTCAGGCAACTGGGATCCATTTTAGAACTAGTGAGGGCAACTCATTGAGGAGCATATATTTTAAGTCTGTTCATCTATTCCGTGGAATCCTTCGTCTTCCTCAAATAAAAGTCGACGACTCGACCAGACCCAAGTTTATGAACTTAATAGCCTACGAAATGTGTCCCGATTTCCACAATGATTTCGGGGTCACCTCTTACATATGCTTCCTCGATTCGCTCATTGATCATCCTGATGATGTAAAGCATCTGAGGAAAAAGCTGATACTTCGAAACTTCCTTGGGAATGACGAGGAGGTGGCTCAGGTCTTCAATGAGATAGGCACTGACTTGGTGCCTAACAATGACATTTACTCCTCTGTTAAAGACCAAATAGAAGTTCACTACGATAACTGGGGTAACAGAGTGATGGCTCAATTCTTTCACGAGCATTTCAGCAGCCCCTGGACTGGTATTGCTTTCCTTGCTGCTCTCCTCGCGGTTGGGTCGAGCATCGTTCAGACTGTTTACTCAGTCCTCAGTTATCATAATAATAAATAGGATTCTCTATAAGCAGAGATTCACAACTCCAATCCTCCACACCCTCTCCCTGCAATAAGAGATGAGCTATAGGCACTGAAAATGCCTGGGCTTACACTCATTTCTGTTTTCTGGTTTGCTCCAATAACTGTACGCAAGAGTGTGACTAAATAAATCAAGTTGAACATGTGGACAAAGGTATTTGTAGGTTCTTATTTAATAAATAATGTAATTCTGTATGTTGCCTATTCATTTTATGAGTTGCTGCAGATTTACTTGCACCTTACTCCGTGTAAGCAACTCTTAAAATTTCTGAAATCTTAATTTCACGAAAAGAGATTATTACAAGTCTCTAAGGATTATTCTTTC